AAAATGCCCCAAATCTACAGTATTTACACCTTGTCATGGTCGTATGGTTCAGCCAGGTTTGGTGCACAGCAGGAATCACACCATAGATGTTTAGAGGGATGAACCATTTTTCATTTCTAGGTTCTTTCTATACATGAAGAATGTAACAGTTATATATTTTGTAAAGGTAAATTGCATCTGGAGCTTTTCTCAAAGGCAGACAGCTTGGGATCATGGGAGTACTACTAAGCTTTGAATATAGTGGTATATAATGTCCTCTGTGGCTCTGAAAGGAGCCTTCAGAGTTTGAAATGATGGCAAGGTGATATCATCAGGGTTATCTCATTCAGACTGACTGGAGCCCTGTACGAAAACAAAAATCAAAACAAAACCAAGAAACCCACAGCCCTCCTTAATTTAAATGGAACCTTTTCGGGTGGGGGTGGTAACGCAGGGGGCAGGGTCAAGGTTGGCTGCAATGTCATCTGACAAGGTGCTGTCCTGGCCAATTATATACATGTAAGAGCACACATTTGGCAGGTACTACTACTAGTTACTATAGTACCCAGCGGTGCAGTATATAAAACAATCAGATATTCAACAATAAAGGCAATATTAAAAACTGGAATAAAAGACAAATAAAACCAAGTCGATTTAAAAGAAATGTATAAAAATGCTAGCCTTTATAAGTGTGTCTTTCAAGTTTTTTAAAAATGTGGCACAGACTCAGCTGACCTGACAGTGAGAGGAGGAATTCCATAGTGTCTCAGCTAAAACTGTAGTAGGAGCACAGTCCGCCTTTGTTTTAAATCCTGGACTGTGAATAATTTGAGAGTATTGGATTATAAATTTGGAAATAAAAGAGGGTGCCATGCCATGGAGGGCTTTAAATGTGATTAGGAGGATGTTGAAATCTTGATTACTCTGTAAAGTGTAAAGTGAACGCTGTGTTTCTACTGACTACCTCACATTTGATGCAATGAAAGATAAATAGTTGCTGCCCTGTTTTGGCATCTGATGAGCCTTTAAATGCATCATGGTAGAGATACAGTGCATCTGTTGACATATGTGAAGTTGATGGATCCCATTCCTTTTCTGTAAAGAGCAAGAGATCCAGCCATGCCTTGCATGATGGATACAGCACAGCAAGTTAATTTACCGTTTGCTGTATCTGAATTTGCATAATCGTGACTTGACCTCAACTTGATGCAAATGAGATCAAAAACTTGTCAAACTAGGCAGCCCTGATCAAATATAAATCAAGATTCTGGTACCGCACTGGCTATTTTTTTGCCTCAAATATTTTCAGAAACATATTTTAGTGACTGTTTAGCTGTAAAATGAGAAAGTTTGTGACCCAGCTGCCATGTTGGAAACAGTAGAATGACAATCAAGCATTGCTTATCGGCTGGAGAAAGCTTGCCTGATTAAGGTTAAGACACGTCTTTCCTTGAATTTGCCTGATTTGGTGTATCCCCGCCATAAATCTAACTGGACTTCCGAGAACATATTTCATTGTTTCACCTGTACCTTAAACAAAATGCCCCTACTGACTGAAACACCCGTGTGTTAAAACCTTGCAGGGGGCAAGGTTTTAACACACGGGTGTTTCAGTCTGCCAGACTACAAATTTACAACAGGAAGACTGGATGTGTGGGGCCTGAAAAAGGAGGGCATTTAGGAGACATAGAGGTGCTAAAGCAGCTGAGTTGCATTACAGGGAATGTAGGAGTGACACATCCTAGGGAAAAAAAAGTCAGAATATCCCCTTTTCGTGATTTTTAATTTGTCTCTTATGAAGCCTACTTCATGGATTTGCAGCATAACATCACAGAAGTTTTATGATCTGAGTTAATGTGACGACTGACTGTGGTGGCCTTCGCTCCTGCTGGAAGATTACAGGGTGAAGCACTCCAGTGCAGTTACGCCCTTTGAGCAGGCAGACCACACTGGTGGTAGGTCTGTGGAAGAGGATGCAGTGTATTTCTCAACAGGATGAGAAGCTTGTTGCTAAATTTCAAATTTCACAACGTCCATGAGGTCATAGCTGTGGAGAAAATCCCTGACCGCATGTGGACGTCCCATCATGGCCCACCTGGTCCTCATTTTTGCTTTTGTTAGGCCGGCTCCATTGTTTCTGTTGGCCAGGCTTTGCTGTGTCAAGGCTCCCTCTCAGAATGCAATGTGACGACCAGGATGATGCGGCTAATGTGACGTGAGGCTCAGACGACCTGGGGAATACACTGTGGATGTGACATGTGAGCAGATTGGAGGACGGCCTCTTCGCCCTATATAAACCCAAATATGAGAGTCATTCCCACGCAAGGCGAGCCTCTCAGCAGAGTTGCCGTGTCCATTTTGTTCTGCTCTACTTTGTATGTAGGTCATCTGTAGTGGACCAGAGATGCAGCAGAATGGCAGCTCCACATTAGATGGTATTTTTATGCTGTGATCTTGGGCCCCATATAGCTTCAGCTCACATTGTTAGTGATAAATGTTGAAGTCCTTTTTACACAGTATGAAAATCTTCAGGATTAAATCTGGATACATGCAGACAAATCATACAAATATTTCCCTCATTGTTCAGGAAATGCAACTTATTATGTGCTCATGGTTGTTATACACAACATGTTTTCATGTATAATATCTGTATCAAATAAATAGGATAGCATATGCAAAAACGGTTGTATGGACTGAAAACCTCAGGGCTCTGATATCTATGTCAATATCACCTCTGGAGGGTGGTGTGTTTAATTATCAGTTCTGTTTCTTGGCTTCAGTCAAGGAAACCTCCTCTAAATGCCTGTGAACAAAGTCTTGGCCTGATTCCCTCACAGCTTCACTGTCAGCTGCAGCAGTGTTGATGACACCTCACACATTGTGGGTATCCTGACACCCAGTGGTCTGTGCAAAAAACAGCCCTCAGATCTTCACTGTCGACTTCAAACGGGGATGCTCCACAGTCTGCCTCTATCATGACACCCAGTGGTACGTTTATGACTTGCCTCAAACGAACAGTGGAGACAGGAAACAGCATCCAATGACTTATGATGCTGCTTTGTTAAAGTCTGACTGTCAAACACGGTGTGAAACAAGTGAAACGCAAAGACCCTGGCAAGTAATGCACTTTAATTTGGAACTACATATATAGGTCAAGTCAGTTTTATATTTATAGCCCAATATCAGACAATTTGTCTCATGGGACTTTACAATCTGTACAGCATTCTCTGTCATGAGACCAGAATGCTGAGGTTGGCAAGAGCCAGAACCAGATTTGGCCCAAAAAAATATCAGTGTGTAAATGAAGGCTACTCTGCAGTGGGCTAATTATGATCATGAAAGCAAACAAATCTGTCCACACACTATTAAATTCTCTATTTTCCTTCGAGACATATCCTTTTTTGATTTGGAACCTTTAGCTAGTCTAGTTAAGGAAATTCAAGACTATTTTGGCCACTGCAATTAAATGTTTTATGTACTTATTTATATTTTATTTAACCAGAAAAACCCCACGAGATTAAAAATCTCTTTATCAAGAGTGCCCTGGCCGAGGCAGACAGCAACAAGAGTTACAGACAAACACAGAACAAAACACTAAATAAAAATGTCAAGCTCTAAAACAAGAAATCTCAAACACAAAATAAGATTACTAGAAAGAAAAGCCAAAAAGTGTGAACCACAAAAATGCAAAAAACATTAACTACACATGATTACAAAGACCAGCTAATACACACTGTGACATTGACATATAGAAGACTGTGCACAAAAATCCTGCAACAGTGCTTTGAAACGGCCGAGAGGAACTAGTGAGAGCAACTTTAAGTCCCTCTGCAGAATATTCCACATATAAGGAGCTGCATACATAAATGCTCGCTAATGATTTAGAGGAAAGGTTCCAGACTGTAGACGTTTTAAATGCATTTTAGTTGCTGTAATGTTAAAACATTTTTTCAATCTGTTTATACAGCGGTAGGATGTAAGAATCACTTTAGGCCTACAACAAGAAGAGAGTCAAAACTATCATTTACCATATTTGCTCTGATAGCATCCAACATCAGACACTGACAATAAGTAAAACCTGATACCAAAACATGGCCAAAGCATGTAGACCATATTTATAAAGATGAACTTAATACAAAAAAATCTCATGGAAGCATGTGCTGAAAGAAATATCAATCTTTTGGTATCTGAATCTTGACAAGCTATGGAATTATGAAAAGTAAATGTAATTTCGCCACTCTAATTATTATAATTATATAATCAAACCTCCTCTTGGATATGATCATCACTTGTAGACTGTTAATACACTGTGTTAATGCTTGAGGAGACATTTGCTTCCACTGCAACTTGGCCACTGATCCTATCTTCAATGCTCATTTGTTACACACTGGTATAATCCTTTACTGTTTGGCTTATTCTGTTCATTTTACTGTCTATAGCTACTCTCATGGTGTTAAACGCTGCTGTTTATATTTTGTTTAATTCACAGACGTTATCCCATAAATGGGTATGTTTGTTGACCATGCACTGCCTTGACTCAGTCACAAGCAAAGTCTGGCCTGTTGTACGTTCACTTTAAAAGATTGACCGAATAATGTAGTGGCCCGGTTTCCCCAATGATGAGTAATAATCAATGAGTTTATCCAGAGCAAACATAATCTGCTGGGACTAACTGCACTCCACAGGGATTGTTTTTTAATTTAAAGTATCAGAGATATTTGTACTTTCAACACTTCAACAGCACCTTTAAATAAAGTAAAGTATCTACATGCTGTGAAACTAATCAACGGAGTTAAAGCGCTCACGTGAGACAGGAGACAAGGAGGGAGCAAACATCTGAAAAGTAAGTTTTTTACTATTTTAAAAAGCTTGTTGTTGCATGGAGAGATGTTTCATGTGTTATTTTGGCGAGTGTTTATTCAACAAAACACTGTACGGACACTGACCCCTCCCCCTACATGTTATGCTCATGAGATGCTGCATGTGTGTCGCATGTGTGTTGATGTGTTTTTGTAGGTGAAATGGCAGCTGAGCTGGACGTGCTGAATCTGATTGTCATTGCGGGAGGAACGCTGGCGATTCCCATCCTGGCCTTTTTTGCGTCCTTCCTCCTCTGGCCCTCAGCACTCATTAAAGTGTATTACTGGTGAGGTCGATAATTGTGCTGTCCTGCTTTTCACTTTATATGATGTAGATTCCCTCTTATGAGCCATAAATAATAATTCTACCACAACTATTTTACAATAAAGTGCTGGTGACAAATCATATTTCGAATCCAAGTGCATATCATTTTTAACTGCTTAATATCCAGTTTCTTTTCTTTACTTTTCTATATTAGCTTTTTTCCACACCTTCATTGAAGCTGTATGACGTTTATTTTATTTGTTATGGCTGCAACATTCCTTCAAATAGAATTATTCTTTAGGTTTTGCGCAATATTTTATCCTCCTATCCCCCAAATATCAGCCAGGCTTTGGACTTGAATCTGTTTGGCTGCACAGGTTGTTTTAAAACACTCACACGCCCATATGTTCATTGAAACATGTTGATGTGCACTTTAATTTTGCCCAGACATGTGACTACTGTATGGGATAAAAAGTGAGCCAATCTTATAAAGGGATTAATAAGACCTTTATGAACACATACTTTATGAAAGGGCATGTCAAGTATTTTTTTTTTTTTTTATAAAGCTCAAAATCCCAGATTTGCCTCAACATGAAGCCCTTTAGTGTATCCGAGTCCTGACATAAAGAAAACAGGCAGTATGTGCTCATGACATTTGCATCCAAGCCTGTTATCACTTGGCCCAAATTTGAATTCCAGTGCCGTTATGTCTGTGTGTATATCAGCTCAAATGTACCTGCTCCTCTACAGGTACTGGAGGAGGACTCTGGGCTTGCAGCTGCGCTACGCAGACTGCGGTGGTTATCGTTTCTGTTACGCCTACAGAGGAAAGCCCGGGATGAGACCCTCCATTTTAATGCTACACGGCTTCTCTGCTCACAAAGACACGTGGCTCACTGTGGTCAAGGTCAGGTGGTCTGCAACACTGAACACAACTGTGTGTCATTGTGAACTCATGAGACAGATTTCAAACCTGCCATTTGACATGAAACACAGCTAGATCACAGGCTGTTAAATCTTAATTAATAATTAATTAACAAGAATTTAATGCTATAAATTCAGTTGCTTATAACATTTCAATTGTTACGGCCTGTCTTTGCTCGCAGGCATACATTAATGGTATTTTAATGTATATCTTTCTCTCCTCTGCTGTTACAGTATCTACCAAAACATCTGCATATTGTGTGTGTGGACATGCCTGGTCATGAGGGAACGACACGCACCAACGCAGAGGATTACTCCATCGAGGGGCAGGTCAGAAGGATCCATCAGGTACACTGAAGAGAGAGAAATGAAATGTATCTGGGTGTATTTGTAGGACTTGTCTGGTGCCTAAAATAACTCCACTGATGCTCTGTTCTTGTCTCTATTTCTTCTCAGTTTGTGGAAACCATTCGCTTAAACAAGAAACCTTTCCATGTGGTTGGGACCTCCATGGGGGGAAATGTAGCCGGGGTTTATGCAGCCTGCTACCCATCAGAGATCTGTAGTATGACTCTCATTTGTCCAGATGGTCAGTCACTGTGTGTGTGTATGACATAAGCAACGACCACTTAAATGTTATGTCAGACGCAGAAACCAGTCAATATTTGTCACTTAAAGAGGCTAACTCACGTCAGCTGTGGCTCTGCAGGGAAAAAAACCCTGATGATCATAGCAATGTCATCTGGGTTATCTCTGTTAGGTCCTGTGTTACAAACTGGGTGCGTAAAGCAGACCTACGATCAGGCCCCCCCCAAAAAAATCAGGCCTGATCCTACATGAACCTGCATAGTTTCTGTCCAGGCTTGACCTGAGCCCGAACTACGGCAGCAGTTTTGGGTCTGAGCCCGATTTAAAAACACAAATTTCCACTGAAATTAAATATTAAAACATTTATTTTTTTGAGCTATAGTTAACTTAAAGTCTTTTGAGTGTGATAACCGACATGTGCCCTCTCCTACCGAATGTTCAGCACAGCCACAAAACTGTCAAATGTCACATACATTAAATACAGATAGTATAACTTTTCTCCTCATCAGTGAGAGGCAGGAGTCAGGATGTGTTGATGGCAACACAGCCCATACATTATTCATGACATTACACAGACTATAAGGTCTGCATTAACAAAATGCTCACAATGTGGAGCGAATCTGATCTGATTCAAGCCCAAGGCAGTTTTTAGAAATTACAGCTTGGCCCTGATCCAGTGGGTCAGATCGGGCTCAATTGGGTCCAGGCTGACAATCGAAGCTTTAGCAAAGACGTGGGCATTTACCCAAGATGGTCCAAATGCAGACCTCACCCAGGTCAGAGGTCACATCCATAAGCTGTATCTGCTTGGGACTTTAAGTAGCATTAAAGGGGAAGTATGCCCATTTTAAATATTCATACATTACTCCTATGACCTAATACACTCAAAAAATATTAGCAAACATGAACAACTCTCTCCAAAATCCATAAGCTAGAGCGCTTAAGCTCAAATTTGTGATGTCATAGGGTATGGAGTCTGGAGCTTTTCCATAGACAATGAATTGGGAAAGACATTATATATGACACTGTGCACCCAGGGGAGATTCCTGAGTATATAGGTACATTTTTGTTTCAGCACTGAGAACATTACAACAGAATAAAGCTCATTTGGGTGTAAAATAGAGACAAAATCCGTCTCCCATTCATTTTCTATGGAGCAGCTCCAGACTTTATACTTGATGACATCAAAGTTTGAGACTTACTTCTCTGGTTTCTGGCTTTTGGGAGAAAGTAGCTCATGTTCACAAATATTATTTGAGCTTTCCCAGGCCATGGGAATAACATGTTGGAATTTTTAATCAAGGTGATGATACCCTTTAATGAAAACTGAAAACATTTTACTCTGTGTGTCTTTTATGGACGTTTTTACACAGAAGATACTGTTACTCTCTCAATCTGAGCAAACGAGTATAGAAGTATATTTGCCTCTCAAGTCTATTCAAGCTATTCAGTTGCATTATGGGAAGTGTAGGATTCAAACTGTTAAAAGTCCAAGTATCTCAGCTTCTGCTGCTTCTATTCTGACCTTTCTTTTTTAAATGCGTCTCCTCAGATTCCCCTAACTTTATGGAGGAGCAATCCTGATTAGCTGGAGTGCCCATTTAATGGATATATTTCCTGCCTACAGTCTGTTGTTTCTGACATTTTGTTTGATCACCAGTTTGTCTTTAAAAGTTGTCACATAATACTGTATTATAAAGAATTACAAGACATGACCTGACACGATCATGATAACACACACACCCTGTTTTACTTCCTTTGCAGCTTGCTCTGTTTGACATTCCAGACAAAATGTGAGCGTGCATCATCACTTTCTAATCAGAAAACATTTATTTTATCCTGCAGGGATAAGACACCCATGTGAGACCAAATTTGACAATCATCTGCAGGACCTGGAACACAGCAATTACACTTTAAACATCCCGCTGATCCCCACTACACCCGAGGAGATGGAGAACATGTTCAGACTTTGCTCTCATGTTCGCTTTAAAATCCCTCAGCAGGTCAGGCCCACACTTGAAAATCAAAGCTTTGTGGATTTCACTTTGTGTGCAGGCACAGTGGGTGATAATATTAAGTGTATGTGTTATTTTGCTGCTGTTTATTCACATGCATGTCATTGTTAGATTCTCCAAGGGTTGGTTGATGTTCGAGAGCCTCACAATTCATTTTACGAAGAAGGTTAGTTCACTTTGGTCTGAATTTTTTTTTTAAGATTTATCATGTGAGGGGACAGTATGGTAAAAATGTTTCTTTTTTTTAATCAGTATTTATGGAGATTGTCGGAGAGAAATCAAGATATGCCTTACAGGAGCACTTACATCTGATCACTGCACCTTTACAAGTGATATGGGGCAAACAAGACCAGGTAATGTGTGATGTTCCACTGATACAGTGACTCAGCAAAGCCTGTATGAATACATAAGTGATTACCTGACAGCTTTTGCTTCTAAACTAATCCTTAAATTCATGTGGCTGTGTACAAACCTGTAACATGAACATGGTGGCTCACCTTTCTTTGGTCGCTTGGGTCTGAATAGAGAAACTTGAGTCACACATCTACACAGACATGATGACTATCCTGTATTTGTCCAGGTGGTGGATGTCTCTGGAGCTACAGTCATTAAAGAGGCGTTACCTGGGTGCAGAGTAGACCTGCTGGATAACTGTGGACACGCTGTGGTTATGGAGAGGCCTTGTCGGACAGCCAAACTCATCCTGGAGTTCATCATCTTGCAGCAAGATGCCAGGGGTGGCACAAAGAAATCCTCCTGAACTAAAGACTTTGATCTTTTCTTATCACTGCAGTGCTTCACGTGTTCCCTGTACGTGACATTCATGTAAACAGATGTCTCAGCTTTAAAAAATGTGCACTAATAGGACAGAGAGCAAGGTTTATAGTGTTCCAGCATTACTTAGATGATTAACACAACTTGCATTTGATTTGTAAGCTGCATCATGATAATAAAACTCCCAGTATGTGACTGTGATGTGTGAATGTATTCATGCAGAGGTGCCTGTGGTTGCAGCAGGACCTCCTCCCCTCCTTCACCCTCCTTGTGTGCGCAGTTTTGCTGCAGCCCGGAGCAGAGCACAGCTGCCCGGTACGACCAGCGGCAAACATCACTGACTGCCCGGCTACACCGTGAAAGACTGACCGCAAGCTGCTGTTTCTGAGTGAAAAAAGAGAGGTAGACAAGAAAGTGAGCCGGTAAGGCTTTGTTTTTACGTGTGTGTTACTTCCCGGTTGTCTAATTAAGGTCCCGGCGTCAACCGTAGTAGTAACGGCAGTCAACGTCAACGGCTCGTGCACTGCTAGCTGCGTTAGCTCGCTAGTTAGCAGTTAGCTAGCAGGCTATTCGATAAATCTTTTCAGTGTTGTACTCGCAGTGTGTTTAACGCAACATACCTCAGGGCATCCGAGATGGATTCACAACTTTATAGCCTCATTCGTCTTTTAAAGTATATTTAGTTTGCTTGCGACACCAGCTCGTTTGTCAGCTTCCTTCATTTTCAACGCACAGAGTGAAATGCATTGAGGTCGGACGGCTACTTTTAACTCTAACGTTAGCTATTAAACATTAATGTTAGCTTGCTTCGTTAGCATTCACCTTTTGATGAGGTAGTTAATCGCACTGTTGTTAAAGAGCGTACAAACTGTAAATTAGTGGGTTTACGTCCATTCATCGGCGCCAGGTTTCACTTTCAGTTAAAGTGGAGTGGTGATTTATGTTATTATGCGTGGTTACAGACACATGAGGTTCAAAGTTCATTTTGACATTTTACAGCCTAATTTAGCAGCTGTTCTGGAGCTTTCTATCATGTCTCATTGTCTTCAACAGCAGATTGAGCTTGCCCATTTCCAAGGAAATGCAGATCCTCAGATTTACCATTTTTTTCTGAGGATTTCATGACCATGTTGGTTCACTTCCTCCTTTCTCCCTTCAGTGTTAAAGGGGTAATTTTTTTTTAAGTGGGGTTGTATGGGTTACTTACCTTTAGCTGGTGTATTGCCTACAGTAGATGGCGTTGGCATGCTCCCAGTTTGGAGAAGCAGGCTGCAGTCTGACATGGAGGCTAAGGTCTTTGGAGGCAATGTATTGTGGGTCAGCAGCAAAAAAAAAAAAGAAAGCCCCACTGGGCGAGAAGCAGGGTACACCCTGGACAGGTTAGCAGACTTTCGCAGGGCTAACATATACATACAGCCAATTTAGAGTCACTAATTAAACTGCATGTCTTTGGACTGTGGGAGGAAGCTGGAGCACCTGGAGAAAACTCACACTGACACAGGGAGAACATGCAAACTCTGCACAGAGGGACTCCTCCACCCCTGGGTTTGAACCAGCAACCCTCTTGTTGTGAGGCGACAATGAGCGCGTTTACATGCACACTAATAAACCGATCATTATCTGATTTCTGGAGTTACCTGATTATTCAAGTGGTCATGTAAACAGCATAATCCCATAGGCTTTATCAGATAAAAGCCATTATCTGATTATGAGAAATCAGATAAACACACCTAGCTTTTCCCCCAATAGTCAGATTATTCGGTGCATGTATACCCTTTAATCTGGTTTCTTTCGGGTTTTGCTATTTTATACTCCCACTCCACTACATTTTAGAGGGAAATATTGTACTTTCTACTCCACTACATTAATCTGACAGCTTTTGTTTCCTTTCAGATAAAGATTTTACATAAAATAATATATTTTTATATTCTCAGTGTTTAAATTGTCACTTTTATTTTATCTTACTTATATGTTATGCACTTTGTGTGACAAGTTTATATACAATACACTTGTATATTGCACTTTGCAGTACTTTTACTATGAATCTACCCAAAGTATGTAAAAGCTCTCACATGTATTTGTTAATGATAAAAACAAACAGTACTGTAAGAATATAAGCTGTCAGCATGATGAGTGCTTTATTTTGCAAATATATGACTTGTGTACTTTTCAAGGTTTTTCAAGGATATGAGTACCTACTGTAACAGGAAGTTTGAGTTTTATGTCATGTACTTGAGGAGAAATCCAACTGAAGGACTGAATCATGTAAACCAGGTTTTTCTGATTATCAGATTATTGAAGTGCACGTAAACGTGTCAAATCGGATTATTACCATTACCTGATTATTCACAGTTATCTGATTATTGTGCGCATATAACCGTGCTCAATGCTAACTACTGTCTACTGCAAAATAATCAACATCATCCATAGTGTTCGCTATATTGAGAGTATTTTCATGGCGCTACCTTGCTATCAAGACAGCCTGTTCGATCTGGGAAGCCCTTAACGGTGTCTGTTCTCCTTGCATCCTTTCGTCAAAGACACCAGACTCCATTAGTAGTTTTAGCTTGTTGAACACGGGAGCTGCTGGTCTGCAGCTGCTTTGATCAGTTAGCTTATGGTATTGTGTGATTTTGGTGAATCAGAACTAATCCTTTTAATGTCAGAGTCACATAATACAAATAAAATAACTGTTCGAGGGAGTGGTAGTCCAGCAGCTCCTGTGTTCAGCAGTGTTAACTTTTTCCCTTACTGAAGTGTGGCTCTGAAGAGAGCGATATAACAGCTTAATTTCCCTGCTGGAAATCACTGCCAACGGCAAGGTCAAGCAGTGAAAGTATTCTAAAAAAAGTACACTTAAATTGATATTGATTTTTTTTCTTTGTGGGACTTTTTAGGATGGTATAAGAGGTTTTGTTGGTGATCCATTCACAGCAGTAGATTGCTTAGCTTTCATGTCAGACTCTAGCCTGCCTGGATGCCTGGGGGCGTATTGGCCAACATCTACTGCATGTAATAGACTGTCTAAGGATAAGCACACCATACTACTTACTTACTATCATTGTATCTGGCAATGTCCCTATGTATCAATGTACTGGAAAGTATTGCCAAGTAACTTAGCTCAATTTTCCATAAAACAGTTAAGACAGAACCAGGCTTGTTTCTCCTGAATAAAGTAATGGAGCGGCTCTTTTTTTCTGCTGGACTGCTGACTTTAATGGGTAAGCGTCTGCTTCTAGTGAGGCTGTGGATCAAACCTACCACAATCAAACCAGATCAAACCAGTCACACAGTGGTACAGAGAAACATTTAAGGTTTTTGATTTGGAAAGCTTCAGTGCTACATTAAAGGGTAATGACAACCTCTTTTATAATATTTGGCAACCCTTCCTTAATCATCTTCATGGTGAACTTGTTGGCCTACAACAGAAAGGGCGTCCATGCTTTTACAAATCCGTCATCATTTTTTCATTTTCTTTGACATGGTATCAATGTATACAAAAATATGTATATTGTAATTTACATGCATACTAATTTAACCTGTGCATGGTGTCCTAATGTATTTATTCTTGTGTAATTTGGCAAAAGCTGTGCTGTTTGGATGTTTGTGTAATAAGAACACATCTCAGGAGAAGATAATGTAAAGTTCCTGAACATCTACTGAAATGATCCTTGCAGTGAGGCTGTTTTGTCAACCTAATAATTTAACCGACCTTATGCGACGGAAAATGACATAACACACACATGCTTGGATACAGTAAACTCATTTAATCCACAAAGCGAACACCTCCTTCTAAGTAAACAGGTAGAACACTACTTGGGTAATCCAACAAACACACAGGTACAGACTGCAGGCTCTCGTCTGCACTGGGAACACACGTGATTTGACTGAGTCTACATGATTGTGTCAATCAACCTATCTTTGTTACAGCTCATGTTAATGTGACTGTTTTTTCCACAGGTGAATTTGAATAAGCCAAACCGTATCTGTTCCCTCTCTATTTTGGTTCTGACCAAGTGGGTATTGTTCTACAAATGGATAATGGAGACTGGGGCCATAGGGTAAGAGATGGATAGAAGTCAGACTAGAATAACAGCAATGTCAGATGTTTGTTTGTGATGGAGAAATGTTAAATTCACTCTGTTGCAGTTTTTTTTGACATCTAGCATTTAAAACGAATGCAGTCTAATAACTTCACTGCAGTATTTTTATATTTTTACATACATTACATACTCAGCACAATACAGATATTTTTATATTTTTAGATATATTAATACTAGTGTAAAACACTGTATCATAATGCAAATATTTTTTATATTTTATATACTTATTTCCATGATTCTTATGTTTGCTTTCTTATAAATCTCCAGAGTCCAGATTTCTCCTTAGACATTAGTTCAAGGTCCACACATTCAGCATCATACTTGCATTTGGCTTTACTGTCAAGCTAGTTTTTTGCTCTCTCTGCCAAGTAGCTGTCTGTTTGGTTCGGTTCAGTCAAACTCAGATTTGTTTGCCCCCTAAGTGCAGTTCCTTTGGGCAGGTTTGAACATAGCAACCATGCTCAGGTACGCATCAAGACAACTGGACTGAGACCTTCTTGAAGAGGTGGTCTCGGTCCAGTTAGAAACGAACTCTGGTGCGTTTCGTTTGGGATGAGAACGTGTTCCGACCTTGATCCAAACCAGCTGCAGTCACATGACACATTGTTTGGGTTAAACTAGTCTCGCCACCAGACAATCAGAGATCTCCGCCTTCTGATAGTCTGGGGACACTCCTTTCTAAAGTGTGTTTAACACACCGGAGAAAACGGCCGGCAACAAAGCAACGCCTGTTGTATTTTTGAAAAGGACACACCCTCCCGGAAATGTGCGCTCCCCCTTTTCTCGTCCACAAGGAAACAAACACACAGAGAGCTTGAAAATGGATGCCGAGAGATTTAACTCAGTTTTATCAAACGTGTGCTCAGTCCACAAGATTGTGGAAATGAAGGACTTACAGAGACTTTGTTTAAAACTTTTAACGCAGTTGGAC